TTGGTTTTTCTCCGGTACCGGGAACCGAACTCATGACCTTGCGCTTGCCAGGCAGGCGCTTTTGCCGCTGAGCTAAATCCCCAGCCCCTGGAGAAAAATTTAACGTAAAGACAAGTGAGGCATATAAAACCCTAAATAGCCATGGTCAACTTCAAATTTCAGAAGTCCAACACAAGGACAGAATCTGAATTCCATTAGAGAAAAGTAACAAATCACATAAAGGTAAACCATTAAAATTATAGCAGACTTTTCAACAAAAATCTTAAAGGCCAAGAGAATGTGCAGTGAAGTATTTAAAGTCATAACAGAAAATAACTTCCAACCCAGATTGATTGATATATCCTAATATAACTATCTTTCAAAATTGATAGAGATATAAGATCTTTCCATGACAGAGAGCACTTTGAGAAATTCATGTTCACCATGCCAGTTCCAAAAAATTCTTAAGAGTATTCTAGAAAAAAGAAACAAAGATAATAATGCCAAAAAGTCTAATGGAATGAACACATCAGACAAAGTGCCCAGTTAAACAGCAAGGAAAAAAGGGAATACACAGCAGCAAAGTAATTCAATGATGGTCAGTCCTTTTCAGTAATAATTGTCAATATGAAGGGGCTCAATTTCCCAATCAACAGACACAGACTGGCTGGGTAGATCAAGAAACAAAACCAAACAGTATCATTTAATTCAAACAGAAATTCATAGACTAAAAATTAAAAAGATGGAAAACTGTATCCAATGCAACAGGAACATGAAAACAAGTACAGGTAGCTATCCCATTTTCAGTCAACATGGACTTCAAGCTAAAACTGATCAGTGCAGGCAAAGGTCCTACATGTTGGTCAAGGGAACAATTCAGGTGGGAGAGGTAGCAATTATAAACATATATGCACTGAACACCAGCACATCCAACTTCATAAAATAAACAGTATTGGACTCAAACATCAGATAATCATCAACACAATTAGAGTGGGGGACCTCAATACCCCGTCACAAATAGGCAGATGAACTACACAAAAAACTCAACAAAGAAATGTCAGAGTTTAGGGGCTGGGGATTTAGCTCAGCGGCAAAAGCGCCTGCCTGGCAAGTGCAAGGTCGTGAGTTCGGTTCCCGGTACC